CCTCAGATCCAGTGAGAGGACACATGTATTTCTTTGGGCACTACATGGAATCCACTGGTCTTTGAAAAGGAAAAACTGATCCTTTTCCAGTTCATAAGCACGATGATGATTGGGGCTTCATACTTCCGTATGACATGTGCCACCCTTTAAGCCTTGTTATGACATAGGCACACTACCCGTCTGACGTGAAGAAAAAAAAAGGAAAGGAAAAGCTGTGTGAGTGATTTTCACCATTCATAGTGCACGAGTTTAAGGTTTATTGGCATTTAAAACTAAAGGAAAACCCCCAAACCTACTGCCATCATACTTTGGGCACGTTGCTAGGGAACCCTGGTTGGGAAGGTCGAGGATCATTGAAAGAGAGGAACACCTTCAGCTGGATGAATTGTCACAGCCACTGCAGCTCTGGGCTCACGTGTGTTAGAGATGGTGAGGATGGCACAGGAGGGGACAGGGTTCATGCCTGTCGTTCACAGGGTCACTGTGGGTCATACTTGACTCAACGGCACCTTAAAACACAACAGCTGCCATCAGATCTCACAATGACCACATAGAATTGCATAGGACTGCTCCTCCCTAGGACTTCCGAGGTTATAAATCTTTGTGCAAGCAGATTGCTTCCTCTTTTCCCTTGGAGTGACTGTGCATTCGTACCACCGACCTTTCTGTTAGCAGCTCAGTGTTTAACTTCCTGTGCTGGCCCTTAAATCACTCAAAAATACTAAGAAGCATAATTTTGTCAGAAAGTAAATTATTAGTTTACTAATATATTATTAACGTGCCCTGGTCATTTTTGAATGTAATTTATAGATTTCATACAGTCAAGGTTTCATAATTTCTATATTGATATATGAAGGTTGAAAACTTTTCTAGCCCGTGGATATCAATTAGGAGCTCTGGTGGCTTAGACAGTAAAGAGCTGAGTGGCTAACTCAGACACCGTGCCAGTAGTTCCAATCAATCATTGGCTGAGGGAGGAAAATGCCAAAACTTGGCTGTAACGCACGTAAAGTTACTCTGGTTAACATAAGCCCAAAAGGAATTTCTCAGAGGAGGACGGTCTTACTCACAGGCCCAGCCAGCTGTCATACCAAGAACCAGATCCATAGTTAAGATCTTATCGCAGAATGGTCTACTTAAGTCATTGATACTGTTGGTACCCACAATCCCAGCCTCTCAATTCCCTTGCAGCTACACCAGTCACCTTTGCCTCTGGGTCACCCTACAGTGTTAAAAGACTGTACTGAAACTATGATTGTTGGAATTTTAACTTGTAGAACATGGCAGGTCTCCCTCTTTCAAACATTGTCATCTTGGATTCTCCCTGAGAAAGATGGGAACTTCAAGTTCTGCTGGCTAGCCAAGACTCGATTCTGTTGACTCTGTCCTTGGACTCAAAAGTTATTGTCAGAGAACAAATATTGCATAGTGTCAGTGTTGTAAAACGGGACTCACGTTGGAATTGAGGGGAGACTGAGAAAGAGGGAATAAATAATATATACTGCATTGAAACAGATGAGAGAGAAAACTGTTTAAAAGGGATATATGATTAGATATTATTGTCATGACAGGAGTCCAGAATGAAACCTGCATAGTGGAGTGGACTTGGGGGGACGGACTGTATAACAATGAAAGAAATTTTCTTTTACTTTTCAAAGAGAAGAGCGAATTGTGGGAGAGGGGTGGGCAGGGAGAAAAGTGCAATAATGAATGAATGGAAATCTAAAGTCTCTGTAAACTTTCATTAAAATTAATTTTTTTAAAAAAAATTATTGTCAATAAGATGTCTTGTCCTTGAATGGGGATTGAGTAATAACCACATAACTCGAGGTTTGGGCCCCCTCTGATCAGCTAAAGGATGTTAACAGAGAACCAGATTTTCCTGGGCGTTGGTGTCTTCAGACAGAGGACAGATTTTGATGAGAAATTCAGTCTTGTTCCTTCTGTGAATTAAGTAAAAGAACAGAAGCAACTCTCTAATAAGTTTCGCTTCTAAGTTAGAGAATGGTTTCAGTATTAGTCAAGCTATCAGAATTGCTGATAGAGGCGAGCTGAATATTAGTATTAAATACAATTGAAAAAACAGTTGTTGTCTAGGTATGAATCTGGGTTTTGAGGTCACTCACCCTCACTTCAAATGCCGCTTCTGCAGCTCCACAGCATGCGTGTTGGGGTCATTTTAGGACACTTTTTTTTTAAAGCACATTTCCTTATCCAGGAGGTAGAGATAATACTTTTGGAATCGTGCTGTTGTGTGAGAGCTCTGGTGGTGTATGACAGTCCATAGACAGTTGTGCTGCTAACCCGAAGGCCATGCTCTCCAGCAGTTCGAATCCACCAGTTTCTCTGTGTGGAAAAAGATGGACAATCTCCTTCTGTGCACCAAACAGCCTCAGAAACACAGTGGAGGGTCAGCTGAGAGTTGGTTCCAACCCAGGGCAATGAGAGTGAGTTTGTAAATGCCTTATTTAAATTGCAGGTTACCCTTTCATCCCACTCTCTTTGTTACAGTGTATCTGTCAAAGGGTTACTCTGGCCTCCAGGGTTTCCTGGGGTTTGCTGATTGAATACCAAGTGGTGGGACAGTTGGACATCCAAGTGTTTGGACATTCCTGTGTGTTCTCAGTCCCTGGCGCCTTTTATGACACCAAACACAGTGTCTTTTTCTGCAGGCGTTCAGTGGTCACTTTATGAGTAGAGTAGAGTAGGTGGGCACTTTGGTACAAGATCTATTTCTAATTTAAATGCTACCTGTCATTTTCCAACGTTCTAAAGCAGCTGGCTTCTTTGAAAGAATCAACTTCTAGGAAAACCTCATTCAAGATCAACTATGTGTTGCAATTTCTACCAGCTGATTCAATTTTCATTTCATCTTCATCTTTAGACAATGTTACAAGGACTGCATCCCAGAACTCGCATTAACCCCTGGGTCGCAGTGTAATGAGTTGTTCGGCTTTTCAAGTCTGTGCTGCCAGCAACAGAGACTCCTTCCATGCTCGCTAATCCTGTCTTCACACAGTTCTTCAATCATTATGTGCATATATAACTCTGCGAGTTCATGTTCTATTTATGTCACCAAGAAGGGAAAGGAGAGCTGCTGTTTGTCTGAAAGAGTTAGAGAACAGGCTCTTTCAATCAAATAAATGTTCTCGTTAGCAGGGTGTTCTGTGTACTCTTTTCTATATGCAGTAAATCCTGAAGAATTAGTATCCAACCAAGTCACTTAAATTGCATATGGAATATAAGTTTCTGTTGATGAATTAAGATTTCATACTGCCTTAAAACAATCTAGACAATCCCGGTGGAGGAATGGGTGATGCATTAGACTGCTAACGAAAACGTTAGTGGTTCAAACCGGCCAGCTGCTCCACAGGAGAGATGAAGCGATATGCGTCCATGTGGATTTATTATCGTCCCAGAAACCCTGTAGCGGAGTTTTATTCTCCTTATAAGGATGCTGTGAGTTAAAACTGACAGCAGGGGTATACCTTTTTCCTTGGTTTTAAGGCTATCCGGAGAGGGAGCTCTGGTGGCCTAGTGGTAAGGAGCTGTGCTACCAGCCAAGGACAATGCTTCAAATCCTCCAGCTGCTTCATGAGAGAGAGAGAGCGAGAGAGAGAGAGAGAGAGAGATGAGCAGTCTCCTCCTTTGTGATTTACAGCCTCTGAAATCCCATCTGGTGGCGGGGTCAGCTATGAATCAGCTCAGACTCAACTGCACATAACAACATCTGTGCACCATGGACCTTTGCATTGGCAGTGGGTGTACTTGACATGAAAGGTGCTTCAGTGGCATCGTGGGCTAAGGGGTAAGCTGTTGTGGAATGGTTGTTGGTTCAAGTTCACCAGCCACGAGAAAGATGAGGCAGGCTGCTTCCATAAAAATGTACAGCTTTGGAAACTCTAGGGCAATCCTCTGTCTTGTAGGACCAGTAAGAGTCATAATTGATTCAGTAGCAATGAGGTTTTGTGAGTTTCCTGTTATTTTAATACATGATATGGTGGAGTTAGAGAACCTCCATGAATGGCTTCTCCTGGAATACCAAAATTTATGAGCTTGAGCGTCTTTTATTCAGTTCCAAGAATGTGCTAAACCTATTCACCTAAGAGATTGGTTTTGGTTTTTTTTTCCTTGCTAATGTTCTTCCTTCCTTGAAACGTGAGGCTCATTAGGAAAGAGAAATAGGTCAAGCCTGTCTCACTGGATTGTATCATGATGAGTACATGTTTCTAAGCGTTGTCAGACTCTGACGTGGCGAGAAGATGAAAAGGTGAAACCCTGGACCTCTGTAGTGTCTCTTCTCTTCCCCCCTTGTTGCTTCCACTGCTGCCTGCTTTCTCCTCGGCCTCTGAGCCGTGGCAGGACAGTGGGAGGGAATGCTGCCTGCTCCTCCCAGCCCGTGATTGCCTGGGACACAGACCCTTCAGATCCACAAGGTTTTCAGATGTAGATCTTGAGTTCTCTCTAGTTTGCCTTGGTCTAAAGCTCCACTTTGGTAGTTGGGTGGTGGCTGCGGCTGCACTCGAGGTGCGTTGAGCAGGAACCCACAGCGACCTCCAGCATGGCAGGCGAGAATTCTACGACTGAACCACACTGTTCCCTTTCCTACCTTATTGTTGTTGTGTACCATAGAGTCGGAACTGACTCATAGCTGACCCTCTGGCAGGTTTTCAGAGGCCGTTGATCACACAGAAGGAGACTGCCCATCCTTCTCCCATGGAGCAGCTGGTGGCCTCGAACCACCTGCCTTCAGGACTGTAGGGCAGCTTTGGAATCGACTCATAGCTGACCCTGCAGTAGGTTTTCAGAGTCAGTTTAATCACATGGAAGGAGATTAGCCATCTTTCTCATGCAAAACATCTGGTGGTTTCGAACCATATGCCTTTGGGATGACTGTGCAGCTCCTTACCACTAGGCCACCAGAGCTCCCTGTTTCCAAGCCCCAAATCATTTGCTTGACTGTCTTGTGTTTCCAATTCTCTGTTCTTTGATCCCCACAGGCCTTGCAGGACTCCTTGGCAGACCTTCCAGACTGGTATGGAGTCAAAGGCATGCAGGCCCACTGGATTGGGGACTGTGCAGGCTGCCATCTGGACTTCGCATTAAAGGTGACCACCCAATAATGTCCCCATCGATTAAGTCTCCAAACTCTCCTGTGACGTTTTTGGATCTCATTGAACAGAGCAGCCGTGTGGGACTCTGTTACCTCACTATCCCATAGAAAGATGCTGGAGCCACTTAGGTCATTTAAAATTTTCTGGTAGCCACATTTTTTAAAATTTAAAGAATATGTGACCTGCATTTTCATAACCTTTTGGTTAACTCAGTCTATCTGAAATACTATCATTTAAAGATGGGGTTGATATGGGAAATCCTTGAGAAAGCTTAGAGAGTACGAGCACATTGGGAGTACGAGCACATTTGAAGTGTTCCGTAGCCACGCCATGTTACTGGCTCCCATACTAGACAGTGCAGTCGTGTAGAAGCTGAGGTGTGTGTCTAGATGCCTTCTAGGGGCCCGTGAACTCACTGAGATTGTGTGGGCAGTTTCCTGCAGAGTGTTCCCCAAGTGCTCGTGATATTTTCAAAGGAGCCCGTGTCACAAAACAGGTGACAAGCTAAGCAAGTGGAGGCCAATTATGGCACAACCTCAAAACGAGACTTTCCGTTATTAACGATTGCGTGGTTGGCCAGGCTTCAGAGGAGGTGACTTGCTGTAAAACACTGCTGAAAGGCCACTAGGCATGGCCCGTCTCCTCTGGAATGTGCCCTAGAAACGCTTCTCTTTGTCTCTGCTAACTAGAAACTTGTTCTACTACTGTCTCTTCACTCGTGTTTTAGGTAATCCAAACCCATCCCCAACTTTAGTCCTGGTCAAAACCATTACAGCAAAGCAGCATCCAGGAGAGAAAACTGACCCGAGCTTCTAGATTCTTCTCTCCCACAACCCAAGTGTTCGTTAGCGTGCCTGGTAGACACTGGACACCTGGTGCTTGTCCCTGAGACTCACGGCATCCCCTCGCACAAGTAAATCCTCTCACTCCAGCTGCAAACAAAACAAACCCACGGCCAGGAAACGTGTGCTTTCAGATGCAAAGCTGGCCTGCGCTTTTCCTCTGAACATTTTCCTAAGAGGGTCACGAGAGTTCTGAAAGGCTGTGCAGCCCTGATTTTGTTGAAACTCAGGCAAGGCCTTCCCTTTTGATTGCCTCATGTGCCCCTAATTTGCTCCTTAACTAGATGAGTCTCTGAGCCACTTGACTGTTGAACTTGGAATGTCTTCTAAACTCTCTCTTCCATTTTATTATTAATTACCACCCCACCCCCCGAACCAGCCTGATAATGAGGCAGCCTGCTGTCTCTGGAGAGGAAGCAGTCTGAGTCGTGCAGGGCAAACCTGTGGCTTTGTGTGGTGGCCCCAAGACTGACCCCTAGGTGGCTTCTCATCAGCTCTTGGGCCATGGCTGTGAATGATCTTTCAACTCTAGGCCCGGAGTGCCTTCACGCCATTGGGATTCTTTGTTATGTGGTTGAGCAGATGCATGAAGGAAGGAGAGCTCTTCTCTGACCTGTGCAAAGGACACAATTGGCACTCAGTGGATGCCTCGTGCCCAGCTCCTCATAGAAGGCATTTTAACCTGCCCTAGACATGCCCGGTGGTGAGCTCAACTCAAGCTGCTCTCTCTCCTTTCTCTTTAAAACGAAGAGAACATCAGCCACTCTGGTTAGGAAAGTAGATGCCTCTGTGTTTTAATATAGTTCTCAATCCTTGAGGGAAGTACACGCTCCTTTCTCAGAACAGACATAGAATATTAAGGATTATTTTGATTTATGAACTAAGGAACCAGGAAAACTGGACAGACATCTTTCCAGACAAAGCACACCTGATGGTGGGCACTGGGGCCCCGGGAGAGATTCTGAGAGAAACAGCAATTCTTTTTTTCTCTCCTGTCCTTGTCTGGCCCTGCCAAGCACGAGCTTGGTCCCCAACACCCCACGGTCTGGTGGCAGAATTTATCCCCACTGTTGAGAATGGGATTCAGGGGGTGGGGGGAGCAGGACATCCCAGAGGAAGCACTGAGCAGTGAGGTGACTCTGCCTTCTTCCTAGGTCGACGGGCAGGCCACAGCTGAGAAGCTGACCGCCTACACAGCCACCCCAGAGGCCATTTACGGCACTTCCCATGTGGCCATCTCTCCCAGCCACAGACTCCTCCACGGGCTCAGCTCTCTGAAGGAAGTCTTCCGGAACGCCCTTGTCCCTGGCACAGGTGAGGCGACACATTAAGATGAAGACAGGAAGATTACCACCTTATGTTCATAGAATTCAGGGTCTTTCCCCATATGTCACCCTACGTGATTTGTTTAGCCTCTCAGCCTTATTTTCGGTTTTTAAAACTTAAAACATGATGATTTTTAAAAAGAGTTCCGAAAATATTCAATCACTTGCCCCAGGTTTTACTGTGAGTTTATCTGCAGTTTGGCCTTCTGACTGAAAGCTCATCTCTTTGACTTTAAATGAGAGCAATTTAATCGCTTTTCTTACAGGAATAGAACCTTCTACCTCATAATTCTATCCTCAGATAAAACTACACTGACATATGTACTAGCAGGAAGCAAGAAGGTATTAGATGAAGCTCTTTTTGTACCGTGATTTGGTTATGTTATACTCTGCTTTAACTCTGGGCAGGGGTGCACAAAATCCTGCTTTGTATACAGGTCTTTAAAAGATCGACTTTGGGAACTGATGGAGCCAGCCTGGAATCGAGGTTCCACCTCACAGCCACCTCATGTGCTCAGAGAGCCCTGTTCCAGGGAGAAGTGTCTGTGGGTATATTTGAGTCCCTGTCATTTTTCTTGGCCAAGGCAAGGCCAGGCAGCTTCCCAGATGGACACATCAAAACTATACCCGAGGCATAAGGACCAGCTATCAAAAAAGACCTCAGGGAACTTCTGATAAAATGGAAGACTCGGCAAATCGCAGTCAACTAAGACACCAGAAAACAAGCTTGACGAAATGACAGAATGATAGCTTGTTGTTGTTGCTGTTGTTGTTGTTGTTGTTGTTGTTGAATACCATTGAGTCAGAACCAACCCATAGCAGATCCTCCAGTGGGCTTAAAGATGCAGTTAATCACACGGAAGGAAACGTCCCTTCCTTATTCTGCAGAGTAGCTGTTGACCTCAAACCCAGTGCCTTCGTGATTGTAGTGCAGCTTCTTGCCACTAGGCCACCAGCGATAACAAATATGGATGATAATTCAAAACAAACCCAGAGACTCTTCTGGAAGAAGGGGATATAGGCCCTGGGCAGGCAAAAAGATGTCACAGTCAACTAGAAATTGGTTTGCAGACAAATTTAATTCTTTCTCACCCCGATTCTCTTTTCATGGGCTATAATCTGAATTACTGAGGTTTGGTGTAATAAGTAGGAGCTCTGGTGGCCCAGTGGTAAGAAGCTGCACTGCAGTTCGAAAAGCACATGGCTTGAAATGAAGATTTATTTACTACTAAAAATTATTTGGTTGGTGATGCGAAGTTTTTCTTTTTTTAAAAGAGAAATAAAATTATTGTCACCTGTTTACCACATTTTTTGTTAAAGTTGTCATTCTTGAACCAACCAGACTGAGACATTTCTTGATACCAACGTAGAGAGAGACCCAGTGATCTTGTGTTACTTTTGCTGGTAACTTCTATTGTTTACTTCTAGCATTAAAACCAGCATTCTAATCTAAAGCCTGCTTGCCCCTAAGGCCTGCTGAGAGGGGGGTCCTGTCTTTTGGGGGGCTGTCATAGCACCAGGTGCATTCTTTATTTTCTCTCTCAGTAGTTACCACTTAGTTTCATCTCTTGTTTAGTTATGTCTTGAAATAGAGAAAAAGACCCTTTTAAGTTAAAATTTCAGTGTGCTTACAAAGTCCAATATAGCTGTCTCACTCAGTTTTATTTTCTACTTACTCAAAAGAAAAACTGGATTCTTTTCCACTGTTTCATTTAGAAGGGAAAATCATAGCTTCTCCTCTCATGAGCAATTTGAGACTCCTTCGGGGACCATGATGGTTGGATATTATCTAAAATCGATGGACTGAAACATGTAAACATCTAGTCCCGAGGCTTCTCCCCTTATAATTACTTGGGTGGCATAAATGAAAATGAGGTAATATTGTTGCTGCTTCTGGTGGTGTGTGCTGTAGTGGGCACTGACGCAGAGCTGACCCTCCAGCAGGTTTTCAGAGGCAGTAAGTTGCTTGGGTGCTGATCTACATGACCTGACGTGGTCATTTCATTTTGACACTGAATGGCATTGTTCCCCTTCTTTTTAATCATCTCAGAAGTAATTCCAAACAGCACATACCTGTTTCCTCTCCATTTCCCAATTTTAATTTTCAGAGTATAACACTTCTTTTGGTCCATGTCAGTTTATTTAGAATTTCTGGATTAATTTGCACATCAAGGCCCTAGATTTTGACATGTGCCATTTATCTTAGCATAACACCAGTGTGGTATGTTGAATACAATGCAACTCCCCTGAAAGGGGAATTAGAATTCCACTGGGAATATGGATGTGTTCCTCCTCTGGCCTGGGGGGTTGCATTTTAAGGCTGTAGTATCACAGCTGTTATTTACCATTGCTGACTGGCTCATCGTAGGCAAGTGGTTGTGTTTTCTCCTTGAAATGTCAAGTGTTGAGGATGATGTATTCAAGCAGTGACCTCTGAAAATCATGACAGGACATGGTGGTGTGGCTGAATCGCTTACGTGCAAGAGTTTACATGTGCAGACACAATTTCCTACAGTTGCTAAGTTGATTTCTTTATATTGGCTTCTGCTTCAGCATTCAGTGACCAAGGTTCTGGTTCCAGGTCCATAGCTTAATTTGATTGACGTTAGCTTCCTCAGCAAAGTAAATGACAAAGACTTTGGGCAAAGTGGTGAGGCAGAGTCTTGTGGTTAGAGAACGCCTGGGGAGTGTGAGAAAGAGTTGGACCCATGGACAAGGTGGTGCTTGAGAAGAAGCAGGCGATGACTACACGGCAGGGATTGTCTGTAGAGAGGAAGGGGCAGCTCTGAGAAGTGTTGAGAAGGCAGTCAGGGCCCCAGGGATCCTGGGACGATTCTCTCATTCCCAGATCACTGATGTAGTTGACTAAATGGGCTCTTTTTCACTGGCATGTTGTAACTGGCCACAGGGTCTTTTAAGACAACCAAAGCAAGGTGCTTCCCTAGAGTTGTGGACATTTCACTTACTGTCATAATCACCGGCGGTCCTCCTTCTCCCGGCTGCCCGCTCTGACTTACGTTGTGTTATGTAAGCTCTGGCTTGATAGCAAGAAGCCATAAAAAGCATCAGTCGGGAAATATCACAGGGGCTCTCGAATTGTTCTGCCTTTTCCTGGAGTCTTTTCTTGCTTTCCTGATATTAAAATATTCAAGCCCTGGGGCTTTTGAACCACATGTGTCAGCTCTGAGTCACCAGTGGTCCACACAGTACATTTTCCCCTTCTTTTCCAGAAGGGTAGATGAGCTCTCTCGAAAGGCCAGCTTAGAACCCTGTTGTTATTAACGCATCAAGCAGCAGACGCCTCATCTCCCTGAAAGCCCAGAACATTAAATAATTAATTACTGTCTGTTGTTTAGCCCCTGTCTCCATGGCATCTACATGGAGATGGGCTAAAAAGATGAGGAGCAGAACCTATCATCCTGGGACAATGGTTTGGTTTGTAACTGAAGTGTTCCCAGTATCGCCCTTGCAGCACGTGCTAATGTGGCTCTGATTGTTAGGTGCCATTGACTCACATCAACTCATAGCAACCTTATGCACAACAGAACAAAACACCGCCACCCGCATGGTCGGTGCTGTGTTTAAATGTCCTGTTTCAGCCACTGTCTCAGGCCATCTCTTTGAGGGGCTTCCTGTTTTGTGCCAACCTTCTGCTTTGCCAAGCATGGTGTCCTTCTCCCGTGGCCAGTTCCCACTGAGAGCATGTCCGATGGACATGAGACAAAGTCTCACCATCTGTGACTCCAAGGCTGCCATTCTTCCACGATAGATTTGTTTAGTCTTCTAGCAGCCTATGTATATTTTTTATTCTTGGCCCACTCCCTCTTAATACATGTTGTGCGTTGTGTTTTTTAACCAAAGATTATCATTGAGGCAGTTCTGACTCTTACTGACTCAGTCTGAGTCCGAGTAAAACCATGTCCCATAGGGTTGTGAGTGGCTGGTTTTATGGCAGTAGATGCCAAGACTTTCTTGCAAGGCCCCTCTGGACAGATACCAACTTCCAGCCTTTCAGTCAGCAGTGGAGCATTTTAACTTGTGCCTCATCCGGGAACTCAATGGATGCTGTAGTGGGGAAACCTTTTTGTGCTTAAATAATCAAAAATGAGCCCAAATAAGTAGGTATCTGTGCTTCAGGACTTCTCAGGGCCCCTGCTGTACAAATGTCCACCCTGACGTCTCAGGGCCCCTGATGTACACATGTCCACCATGACTGTCTAAAACAGGGTGTCGGGTGCAGCACTTCTTTGACCACAGAGCCCCCTTTCCACTGAGCACTCAGTGAATCAGCTGCATGCAGCACCAGTGTGATGAACATTGGCCTGCCGTCACTTGTCTGTTTTTCCAGAAACCCTCAGAGACCATTCATCTCTGCAGCGGGTACCCTGAGAGCCCAGGGCACCTTTTTGTCTAAAATGTCTTCTTACCATCACTAATGTGTTTTAGTTCTAAAAGAATGGCTGTAAAATGCTTCCGTTACGTCATATCAGCAGCCTGACTTCCTAGAAATTTGAAGAACTGTAGACCTAATTAGAAACGTCAGCTTTTTTCCTTTTAGGAGATTTCTTTTGGCCAGTTAATAACGCATTCATTTCACATATGCTAGTATTTAAGTTCAAAGAACAAAAACCTCTTTTTGCCTAAAAAGCTGGTTTAATAATCACTTATATAAAAATATCAGAAAAGATAGATGTCTAGAAAGCAAAGTTTAGTGGTGATTTCCAAGTGTGTGACTCAGCTCATTACAGAGAGTCAAAACTGACCCATAACTGACCCCCCTAGTGAGTTTTTGGAAACTATAAATCACACAGGAGGAGATCACCCATCTCTTTCCCCAGAGCTGCTGGTGGAATCGAACCATCGGAGAAGTGCTGCCTTTGTGTTAGCAGTGCATCTCCTTCTAGATTGTGCCACCCGAGCTCCCTGCCAGGGGCATGCGGGAGCAGGGAGAGGGTTAATGGCCATGGGAAGACTGCATTGGTTAAGGTGATGATTGTCACTGTTGTCTAAAGTTAAAAGTTGAATTGGCAAAAGTTGGATGATAGAAATATTTATAACAACAAAAAGAAAAAGACAAAGAATAGCTGCTGAGGCTGCTTGTGAACAACAGAACAATTCTAGGATTTGTTTTTTTTTAGGTTTGTAAGTTTCCCAAAATACATGAACAAAATCTTGCAGTCCGAGCTTCTCAGGCATATTGTGGGTACGCTTGATTCAAGACCTATTTGTCCAAAAATAGTGGCTTTGAAAGTCTGTTTCGTGTCTGAGCAGGTGTGACAGCTCTACTCTGTGAAGCAGACAGGGCCGAGGCTCTTTCTGTCCTTCGCTGTCCTTCCTATGGTCTCGCTTACCCTCATTGATGTGGTCGAAAGTACTCCATGCTTCCCCTGTATTCCAGCAAATGAGAAGAGGAACAAGAAGGACATAGTCTCTACGTCCCCCATGTGTCAAGAGAAAGTGATCAGTACTCCCATTAGCTGGGCAGTCATGTATTAATTAAAATTACTAACCAAGAAGGGAAGGTGGCCACTGGGGTATCAGGCAGTCTGGGCGGCATGCTCTTTCTGTGATGTGGATTTCCCTGTGTCTAATTCACTATTTTTGATCATGTGTGAACTGATTGGATGTACTGGTCTTAGCTAACAATCATCTGTGGGCTGGAGCCTCTTATTTTAGTCAGTCAGACCGGGTGAGTGAGCTTTTTCAAAAGTCAGTTGGGCCCTCAGGCCTGGTGTTAATTGTGTTTGGGACTAACATTCTTCTATTATTATTATTATATTATTCTTCTATTCTTCAGTACAGCACTGCTCTGCCAGTTTGCTGCACTGAGGTAACTCGTGGTTGCTGTGATGCTAATGCTGTGCCACTGATGTGTCAAATGCCATAATGGTTACCCATGGCAGACAGTGTTTGGTGGAGCTCCCAGATTAAGACTGGCTTGGAAGCAGGATTGGCATCTGCTTCCTAAACAACAGGCATTTGGAAACTCTACGAATGTTAGAGAAATGATGATAGTTATAGAACAGGGTCAGATCTTTGGTTCATAGGGTCGCTATGAATTGTGCTCAGTTCGACAGCACTTAACAACAACACTAGAATGTTTTATAACATATAACTAGAATGTTAGAAAACATTCTAGTGTTGTTGTTATTGGGTGCCAGCAAGGTGATTCTAACTCATAGTGACCCACGTGACAGAGTAGGACCCCTCGGGTTTTCCTGGCTGTGGCCTTTACAGAAGCAGAGTTTCTTCTCTTTCTCCCATGGGTGTGTTTAAACTGCTGTCCTTTCAGTGAACAGGCGGTCACTTAACTGTTGTACCACCAGAGCTCTTTATAGACACTATTTGTTGACTTCCTCTTATGGTTTGTTGTTATTGTTACATTGTTAAGTACAACTCATAGTGACTCTATGAACAACAGACCTGAACCCTTTCCTACCCGGCACCATCTTCATTCCCTCTAACATACTTGAGCTCATTGCTACAGTCACCATGTGCGTCCATCTCTTAAGGATGTTCCTCTTCCTCACCGGCCCTCTACCTGTCCAAGCATCATATGCCTCCCAAGGAGTATAACACACCAAAGTGTTTGAAACGAAGCTTGGCCATCCTTGCCTCTTAAGCAGCTGCACTTTCTCCAAAACATATCTATACTCTTCTCCAGCATCACAACTCAAGGCATCAGTTCTTCTGTCATCCTCATTCAGTGCCCAGCCCTTAGATGCATAGCAAGTGATTAAAAAGAGCATGGTTTGAAGCAGACACACCTTGATCTGTAAGCTGACATCTTTGTTCCTCAGCACTATGGAGAGGTCCCTGACTGGTGACTTTGCCAGTACAATACATCTTTTTATTTCTTTGCTGCTAATACCAATGGATTATGAATCCAAATTAAGATTAAATCATTTGACAACTTCAATCTTTTCTCTGTCTGTCATGATATTAGCTATTGGCTAAGTGGTATATAATTTTTTAAATAAAAAATTCATTTTATACTGGTTTGCTTACAGAGTCTGTATACATTGTTCTTCACACAAGATCTTTCCCATTTCCCTTACCCAGCTATCCCTCTACCCATCAAATTGTGCGACTCTATAATTACCCCCTGCCCATACTCACCCCTCTGCTGCTACCTTTCCCTCTTGGATCCTCATACACATTTTACTAGTTGTCTATTTCTACAATAATGGTCTTATACAGTATTAGTTCTTATGTACTTTTGTTAATTCACTTAGCATAATGCTCGCCTTTCCCTCCCAAGTTGTGTAGTGATTTTCAAAATCACTGCTCCTGCGTGTTGCATAGTATTCCATTGTGTGAATCCAGTGGGACATTTTTTTTTATCTTGGTGTTGAGATGTAATCCATGTGGAAGACTGTAGTCTTTGATTTTCTACTGCGGGCATTTCAGTCCTTCTCACTTTCAGCAAAGCCAGGTCATCTCATCTGAATAATGCAAGTTGTTGCTGAGTCTTCCCTCTGATCCTGATGCCATATCTCTCTTCATGGAGTCCAGCTTCTCCAATGACGTGTTCAAAATTTAGACTGAATAGATATGGAGACAGGATATGGCCGTTGTTCCTTAGTTCTTGGTTCCTTTGCTCTCAGATAAGAGCTTCTTGGTCTAGGTCGAGGTTTCACATGAGCATGATATTCTGGGATTCCCATTCTCCTCAGTGTTAACCATCGTTTTTTATGATCCACACAGACAAATGCCTTTAATCAATAAAATGAATATTTTTATTCTCTTACTCCATTATCCCATACCTCTGTCATCCTGTTAGCATCATTACAGAATTTAAAGCCAGGCAATTCTTTGAGGAGGAAAAATATAGGCTCAGAAATACAAGTCTCTGCTTTGAGAAGTGAGTCAGCACTCGGGCAGGTCAGTACTTGGGCATCAGGTCCCCCAGCTGAAGCAGCAGTGCCCGGGTGCTCCATGGGTCATAGCCCAGGCTCCCTGATGCCCACCGGAAAGGGAAGGTAAGAGCTAGCTGAGATGCCTACACAGCCAATCTTTACCTCTTTAAAATATAATCCCTAATGCCCAGGCTTATTTTAACTGTGAGGTGCGTATAATTTTAGACATTTACATGACAAGTGGTAGAAACTGTAGTAGTAAAATAAGTTATAACTGTTGTTAATTGCTTATGTTGTTAATAAACTCACTCATTGCCTGTTTACACCCCCCCTTCCCTTCTTTTGTGGGATCTTATTTGGGCCTTTATGCTGCCAACATTGCTTATACTCTGTGTGGAAAGACGCATAGATGGTTCCTCTGCTCTGGTGGCGGCATCTGTCGAGAGTCACACTGGTGGCTGAAAGGCCACCTCACTGGTGGTTCAGATCCACCGGCTGCTCTGTGAGAGGAAGACTGACAGTTTACAGCCTCCACAAACCCACTGGAGAGTCCACTGGGGGTTGGTTCCAACTCGACAGCAATGACTTTTTCACTTTCCTGCTTTCGGAGTTCAGGCTCCATTGACGATAGCAGAATCTGTAGATAAATCCAAATTAAGTGTTTTATTGTTGTTGTTGTTGTTGTTGTTGTTTGATGCCGTCGAGTCGTAGAGGACTCATAGCGACCCTATGAATGAACAGCCTGAGCACTGTTCGTACATCGAGTTTCCGGAGGCAAGCCATTTCGGAAGTGGATGCCGCTCCTGCTTCCAGGCTTGATTTAGTCGGGAAGCTCCAGCCAACACTGTCCACCATGGGTGCCCATTACCAATGATTGGCACATCACTGTCACAGTCTTCAGCATCACAGCAACCACGAGTTACCTCTGTACAGCAACGCACAAACCAGTGCTATACCACCATGTTTTATTATGACCACATAAATACCATTCACAGCTGAGACTCTTAGACTGTATTATCCTACTTTAAAACTTTTCTTTTTTCCTGAAGCTCAGAATTCCCCATTTTGGTTTGTAGTTTCCATTCCTGCGATGATATTTGATTTTCTAGCTCAGTCTTTCCATGCCCTCCAACAGCTCTTTAAAATTGCTCTCAGGACCTTTTTCTAGATATTTTGACCTGCTAGATGGTCTCTCAATTCCCTCGTGTCCCTGAGGATGCTTCCTAAGTCACTCTGTCCTGCTTGAACCTGGCTGGGCCCTTTCCAAGCCTTTGCTGCGTATCTGTCACTCCAGAGTTCCCTCTGTGTCTGGTCTGTGACTGTGGCATCCATGTCCTGTGAACTACCCAGAGAATGAACGGGTATGTCCTGGAAAAAGTGCAGCCAGAGGGCTCCAGGGAGGAGGGACAGCAAAGCTTCGTCTCTCATACTTTGGGCATGTTATTAGGAAAAGCTATTCCCTTTCATCATGCTTGGAAAGGTAGAGAGTCAGCGAAAGAGAGGAAGACCCCCAAAGAGTGGATTGACACCGTGACTGCAGCGTTGGGCTCAATGTGTCAGAGACGGTGAGGATGGCACAGGATAGGACAGGGGTCTGTGGTTCACGGGGTCACTGGGAGTCAGACTCAATCGCATGTAACAAGGAGGAACGTTCCTTGGGAGGAAACATCTGACTTTGTATATTTAGAAACCTCTTTCCTTCTTTCTGCCTATTTTCTTCCTCACTTCCATCTTCAGATGTTATGGCTTGGCATTTCAGCTGCCCCCAACATTTTGTGTGTGTCTCCACTTTCCATATGTTCAAGGTGTTTTTATAAAAGAAAAGGGGGGCACTCGGGGCTGTCTCTACCTCACCATCTGGAAGGTGGAAATGCTGTTTGCACATCTCCGGTTATGAGCGTGGATAAACATCTCCTTGTGCGCTGGTTTAATCTTTTGATTTGCCTCTGGTGTGAATTATCTATTAGTATTCTTCAAAGAACTGATTCTTTAACAATTAGCACCAAACACAGACGTTCTAACGCTGTTTTTCTCACTTGTCGACTTGGGGATCGGATGGCATTGCTGTCTCAGCTGGCTAGCATCCTCAGTTGTTTGCATTTCTTTCCAGATTGCCTCACGCCTGTGACTGCTGTGAACATGCTCACGCAGCAGGAGGTCCCAGTGGTTGTCAGGGCCAAGGCAGACCTCGAGGGCGCTCTGGATTCAAAGATCGGTGAGCAATATTCCGGTATAATCGGGGGATTTATTTTGCCATCGTAAGCCCCACATGCTAACCTACTTTGTTCAGCCAGAAGAACCAGCTGTCACTCTCATGATGTTTCTAAAACTGGCCTTTCATTTAAACCTCCCCTCCCCTTTCTGAAGAACTACATTTGGAAAACTAAGTGTATTTTACCTTGTTGGTTGGCTTTTCAGAATAACCAAATCCTCTCTGACCCATGGACCTAGCCGCAGAGCTGGCTGGTGAGACTTGTACATACAATTTGAGGAGCAGTACGAGTCAGATAAAAATCCATCTTCCAAATTCATAAAACCGACAGCAACGGCTGAGCTGAGGGTTCAAAGCACAAATGATATCGATGTGGGTTGGGTTTTTGGTGAAAGCTTTGTGGAGGAGGTGAACTTGAGCTATTCAAGAAAAGGAGCGTGAAACAGCAATAAAATTGAAGGCGTATTTAGAGCTGTAAATTGGATGTCCTTGGCAGTCTTACTCATTTGCGAACATTCTCAACTGGCATCACATAACAGGAAGTCTGAGACTGAACAAAGAGACGGAACCAAAGGATGGCCCTGCCCAGGGTCCCCTGCCGAACCTGCGTGGCTTTCTCTTCTTGCTACAGCAGGAATATTTGAGCAGCTAAGTCTCAAAATTCCAAAACCCGACGGAGAAAGTTCTTTCCAAACTCCATTTTCTAGCACACAGAAGATGTAGTGTTCCTGTTGAAAAGAGTGTTTTCTTCATGATACATAGATCTATTTTTTAATAAAATGATTTTTTAAAAAGCCTCTAAACAGAAAAAAGACTTTAAGACATTCCCTTCTGGCCATTTAAACCTAGAAGACCTGTTACTTAAAGGAGATCATTCCTTCTGCTACCTTTGTACATTTTATAATTGTACTTTATTAAGGGGAGGAACGGGGTTTTTTTGGTTTTGATTTCAAGTCAAATTACTGACATGGCATTGAGAGAGGACTGCAGGGGAGAAAATTCTGGATTTTTAAAATGTGCACAGAGAATTGATTTTCCTGTTGTCTTGGATTCTTTCACTTACATAATTAGTGTTTTTCAGTTTCTACCTCTTGCCGTCCAAGAAGAACAAGCAGAAATCCACAGAGTGGAGGCAGCATGTCCCCTACCCACATGCACTGTTAGAAAAGGGTCTGTGGATGCTACGACCCACATCGCAGCCCAGAGGAATCTGTACGGTCAGATAAATTGTGGGATCTCTGTTTTCCTTTTGAACTTAGCCCCAGTTACTCCAGATCATACATGATTGAGTTGTAGTAAATGACTTTTCTCCCTCCTGATCATAAACACTTTGCTATCATATTATTACTATTATATAATACACATTCCATTGTTGTTGTTAAGTGCCGTCAAATTGTAGGTGACTCATAACGACCCTATGAATGAAAGACCTGAACACTTGTATAATATTCGTCCTTTCTCCAGATTCATAGGGTTTCTGGAGGCAAGCTATTACGGAAGTGGATGCCACTCCTGCTTCCAAGCTTGTTTTAATCAGGGAGCTCCACCAAACACTGTCCACCATGGGCAACCATTATTATGTTTGACACATCATTGTCACAGTGTCCGTCTCCACCACACCCTTACTCACCCTTACTCTACGGGTCAGGGCCGCCCACCCACTTCATTAGATTATAATAATATTTACTATACTGTTACTATTTGTCCTCATCCTTTCCTATCCTCCAGGTTCGCACTGAGCTTCTTTCATTTTTTCTGATGCTTTTCGTCAATAGCTTCATGTGAAACACCACAAGATGTCCACGGCCCCACAGAGTTTTGGAGCGTGTTTCCTAAGCATTTCTTAAAAAAAACCCAAACACCAAAGCTGTTACTGTCGCAGTGACCTGTGTGTGTCAGAATGAAACTGTGCTCCCTGGCTTTTCAGTGTCTGATTTTTCAGAAATCAATTGCTGGATCTGTTTTCTAAGGTATCTTTGATGGAGTCCTCCCACCCTTTCTGTTAATAGCCAAGCCCATTAACTGCACCACCCCGTGACTCGCTAGACACAATACAACCCTTTCAGGACAGTGCTCACTGAAGTCTGACCCCCAAGCGTTTCATGCATTGCCCTTAGCTTTGTATCTCATTTGCCACATGATGTGTTGTGTGCACGAGAGTGTCAGCAGTTTTGACAGATGGCCATTGAGCAAGGCTTCCTGACCAGGGGCCGTTTTGCCAGCAGGGAACATTTGCAATTTCTAGAGACATTTTTGGTTGTTATAACTAACAGAGGGCTACGTGTAGGGGGCTGGGTACCAGTCAGCATCCTGCAATGAAAGCCCCCCACAGCAAAGGATTACCTAGCCCAGAATGTCTGTAGAACCAAGGAGAGCCAGAACTAGTGGCTGAAAAACTTCTTTCCTGAATAGCTGAAGCCGAAGCCTCCGGCTGGGCCTCTCTGGATGAATAATTCTCTTATGCTCTGCTCCGTCTCCTCAAGGGCGTCTAGGAGCAGAAAATGAAATGCCTGCTCAGGATGTACTTTCGCCTTCAGGAACAAGAGCAGAAGGAAGAAATATGGTTGTCAGCTTTTGACTAAGTAGTGTTTTCTATCTGCAAAGTGCCCCAGCGCTTGTCTGTTGTACTGTGGTGGCTCGTGTGATGCTGCAAAATTTGTCACTAGAATCTCAGATACCAGCAGGTCACCCATGGTGGACAGGTTTCAGCAGAGCGTTCACACGGGCAGTGGAAGAAGATAAACTGGAAATTGGCCAGTAAACAATAGAACATTGTTGCCAAGGCAGGGCCTCATGGTGGGTGAAGCAGAGAGGGGCTGTCAGGGGCAGGGAGACCCCTGGTGAGGTGGGTGAGCATCCTAGCCACGACAGTGAACTTGAATGTCAGTGATCAAGTAAATGACCTAGAACCCGGCAGCTTCGTTCTGTTACCCGTAAAGGTCATCATGAGTCAGAGCAATTATCTACGATCCATCTAGGAAATTCCATAGGCATCATCTTTGTTTCACAGGAGAAAGCAACTGTCCTCTGTCACCGAGGAAACTGAACGAAGCAGCGTCCCAAAATGCTTGTGATTCACTGTTTTCCGTGCCAGAAAGTGTTCAGAACTGCACACCTCGGAATCACAGCGTTTTATTTAATATTCTAATCAGTTTTTAGTGGTTAGAATTATGTGTGTAGTTTTAACCTCTTTTACATGTAATACACAATAGCATTTAAATATCTGAGACTAAATAACCTATTGAAAATTATAATACTGACCACGCCATAGGTCTTCCTCTACTAACAGTAAAAACAAAACCGATGAGTTTATTTCAGAAAATTTACATTAAAGCCATTGTTTCATAATTTGGAAATCTGAGTAGTCCAACTTTAAGACGACTTTCTCATTGTTGAGCTTTGCTTTGTGACTGTGTCATTTGGGACTTCCTCTTGTCTGAAGGTATTCTTGCATGTGGCGCACTTTCAAGAGGGGTCTTTAAAGTTGTCCTTGCACTGTGCCCTGGTCGGGGTTCCGAACCCAGCCTACCAATCCTAGCTTTTTACTTTCAGCCTGTGGTGTGCTTGTGGATAAACACCCCTTGCTCCTTCCAAAAAATTTCAGAATCCACTGATTCCAGGGTGTCCCCTTCGGCCATGCTCATACCTTTAGGGTTAACTGAATTGACAGGCACGCCCCAGATCCCAGCCCAGGGCTCACCCTTCTCGTATTCCTCAAGGGCCAATGAGACCAGCTGCCTAACCACCATGCCAAAGGCTAGAATTATAGCTATTTCAAAAGAACAAGAAACTAAGCAAAAGAAGGATTTCAAGTACCAGTATTTCAAGGAAATAATACCAAGATGATTGATTAGTTATGTTAGCATGGTTAGATTCTTCAAGACTATTTTCTCAATATAATGTGGGCTTATCAATTTTAAAATTAAAAATATGGAGAATCTCTTGCAAAGAAGCCAAAACTGAGTTACAGTTATTGTGGTTTGTCAGTTCTTTTGCAAAGGAGATATCTTGTGTTTCTTTCCCTCTGAACAGGAATTCCCAGCACCAGCTTAGAAGACACCGCCGTAGCCCAAACTCTAGGTCTTCCCTACACTGAAGTTCTTGAAACTTTGCCAGATGGCACAGAGAGACTCGTCAACTCAGCTGAGGTTGGTGCCCCAGGGCATGGCCAGAGGATTTCATCCTAAAATCACCAATCTGACATCAATTGATAAGACCTTTTTTTCTGCAAATGCAAAATCCACTCACCCCCTAAGCATAAATCATGCAGACTCATTTGTGGAAACAAAGTCATATTCTTTTTCCAGATGTTTTAGCTCCAAGTGGACTCTAATCCTAGAATAATGTTGAAGTAACAAAATTTTATTTGGAGAATCTTCTGCTTGAGGAAAATGGCCTCTCCGAGGCAAACTGATTCTTTAGGGGAGGTGACTGAAAAGGTTCTTCTGAGAGGACTGTTCTCAGATTATACCCTTCTTTCCAGCCCAATTTTTAACTCATTTATAAGTAGAATGAGCAAAGAAACCCTGAGTCATGCTCATGTGACCAGAGTCCTGTCTGCCTAGAAGGGCTGGTGCCAACCCTAAGGGGGATTTAGACCTGGGAGGTGTTTGCTCTGCTCGCTCAAGATGATTGTGATTCAGCTACACCTGGAGATCCAGGTTGTTCAGGCCTGAATCTCCTGACTACAGCTTCTTTCTAAGAGTCCGAATAGGGGCAGGGCAGGGTTTTTCCTGCTCTAAGGAATCACATCCTAATGATGTGTTTGTACTTTTATTCATCACTTCCCCCTCACCCCCACCCCAGACTTGAGTCATACTCTAAGATAGCAATCCTAAGCTCTGTTTTCAGACCTCATTTGAGCAGGCTGCCTGGAGGTAGAGCCGCATGGAGCCCACAGGTCTGTAAGGAAGCCCCGGGTAACTCTCTTCAGGGCTTCAGAGGAGACACTCGTGGCTGTAATTAGGCTAATGAAGTGTCCACTCTTTTACACAGAACGCTGAGCTTTAACCGCACCCCTTGGCTTCTTTCAGATGGCTGCATGTAGTCTGTTGCCTTCCCTCCTGGCTCCCGGCTGAACAGACAGGGTAAAGGACTTCTTTCCATGGCTGGTGAAAGGCTCCTGTCAGCCCTGAGCTCCTGGAATACAGGAGAGTTAGGAATCCACGGAGAAGAGAAGCTTGTTATAAGGCACAAGTCCATGGTACTGGGAGTGCGGCACAACAGTGGTCCTCCCAGCTAGGCAGCAGCCCTCTTCGAAGAGGAAAAGGCCTCGTTTAGCAAACTTCACCGTGTTTCGTACTGGATGTCCTCTCCTTGCAGGCAGGGACCAGACCTTATTGAGTCTTGTGCCCACGGGACCTTGCACAAGCCTGACACATAGGAGATGTGCAGTATGTCTTTGTTAAACCAGTTCCAGGGACCCCAGCCCAGCTGGCGAGCCAGGCTCCTAGATTAGTCCTATTATTAGTTTTATTCTCTGAGAAGAATTCGGTGAAAGAGTGTTTCTCTTTTTTATTGTTCTACTTTGGCATCTGTAAAATGGGAACATTTCTATATAATGAAAGTTGCTGTTCCTCCAAGCCAAGGAATCCAATCAATTCAATCTTTTTTTCCTTCTTGCCTATATTCCTTCTGTTGTAGGGTAAGATTGAGTTTCAACACATCTCTGTAATTTGCAGTGAGGGGTGTGGGGACATCGACTTTTCTTGCCCCCATGTTTCTTTCTGTCCCCTGTTTCACCAGCTCTTGTGGCGCTGTCTGTAGGGAGTTGCACAGCTAACCTAAAGGCATCTGCCTGGAGGTTCAAATCCACCAGCAACTCCTGGGGAGAAAGATGGGCAGTCTCCTCTCGAGCGATTTACAGCTTCTAAAAACCCACTGGAGGTTGGCTATGCATCTATTCCATCTCGACAACAATGAATTACTGTTGAGTTACTGGGGAGAAGATAACATATGTGGTTCTTTAAGGAGCCCTAGTGGTGCACTGCACAACATGTCGGGCTGCTAACCAGAGTGTTGACAGTTCAAATCCACCAGCCTCTCTCTCTCTCTCTCTCTGTGTGTGTGTGTGTGTGTGTGTGTGTTTCTCTCTTCCTGCTATCTCAGAGAACTGAAAAGGATTAGTATGGTCAGAAATGACCCAACAGTACAGATGCTGATAATTCAGTACCCCCTTGGGGATCACTGGCCTCAGTTGATAAAACCCCAGAACTCAGGCTGAATTACCTGCTAGGTGTTAAGAGACACAGTGCCTTGGGCCCACAATAAGAAGGAATCCCCAAGAAGAAATTGTAATTTCTTTAGGAAAAAAAATAAGAGAGAGCTCTGGCCTAGTGGCAAGAAGCTGCACAGCAATCCCAGAGGTATGTGGTTCAAATCCACTAGATGCTATCCTGTACCAGTCAGATATGATTTAACGGTACACACACAAAATAAGAAAATAAAAATTAAGAAAAGGAAACTTTTGGGGTCTAAGATTATAATTGTATTCATATCAACACAGTTGTAAATATCATCTTCAGTATTATGTTTTTGGAGGCAGGGTGCCAGGAAAGTGGAAGCACCCAGGGCTCGTATCATGGCCTGTGTGGAGCTGACCTTGGGGGGGTCACTGAAACATCCGTGTGAGGGTGGGAGAGCTCACACGTTCTTGCAAAGAAAGGAACATGTCACTGTCGTCTCTTTCTTAGTTCACAGGTATGACCCGGCAGGATGCCTTTCAAGCCCTGACTCAGGAAGCCCGGAACAAGAGGGTGGGCGGAGACGTGACCAGTGAGAAGCTAAAAGACTGGCTGGTGTCCCGGCAGCGGTACTGGGGCACGCCAATCCCCATCATCCACTGCCCGGCCTGTGGCCCGGTGCCTGTTCCTCTGGAGGACTTGCCCGTGACCTTGCCCAGCATCTCATCGTTCACTGGCAAAGGAGGCTCCCCACTGGCCACAGCTTCAGAGTGGGTGAACTGCTCCTGCCCCAGGTAAGGACCAGGCCCTCAAGACTGCCCCCTCCTGGTGCTAACTCCACTCACTTTTTCCACGACTTTGGCCAGGCTGGGAAGAGTAGTGAAGGTCTTCAGGGACCTTTGAAGGAAGGTGCTGGAAACCGTGGACCCGCTCCTGGGATGTGACACCGCCTCCTCTCCCCAGAGATGGTGAAGCCTTGTCGCTTCAGATCTACCCAGACACATAGGATCCGACTTTCATCACAGCTTTGTAAAAAGCCTCTTTCTTCCATTTTATATTACAAAGAGCTTCTTGAAGATGAGAGAAAATGTTTTCTGTCTGCCTTACAAGTTTTCCAGTTTAGTGACTGTGATAACAAGGGAGATTTTATTAGAGGCAGCAGAATGTCACGGGCTTCGTCCTTTAATACACTGAGACACACCCGCCTTCCTGTCTCCTCACTTTGGAATTGGGTTGTGTTTTCTGTCAGGTCACCGGTGTGTCTCAAGTGTGAAGCTTATGATGCCGAGCCAGTAACTGATCCCAGGTTCTGATATTTGTCTTGCCCTTCATTTTCCTCAGCCTCCTAGATCATGAGGAGAGTATTTTTAGATGATTTAGTCCTCCACCGGTTCAGAGCTGAACTCCTAGGTCAGTAATTCGGTAACCCACGAGTGGATACAAGTCGCAGCTCTAGCTCTTCCCAGCTGTCACTTAAACTTGAGAAAGTCACTTCACTTCTCTCAACTTCAGTCCCCTTATTGGGAATTCAGATAATCTCTCTGAAGGGCTGTTAAGAGACTAGATTTCATTAGCACCTACCCAGCGCTGGGCACATCCTCCTAGCAAGCATTTGGTACCCAGAAACTTTCCTGTCCATCCTCCCGGCTCCTCACCTGGATGGTTGTGAGGTGTAAGACAAGGCCTTGTGAGCAGGACCACAGGGTGACCTTGCCCAGTGTTGGCAGAGTTATGGCCTCCGGGAGGAGAGTGGCTCGCTCTCTTTGTGGAGAAGCAATTACGGGGCTTCTCTGATGGCGATGAAGGCAGCCGTCGGCGCATGCAGCAGCAGGACCTCTGAGCAGCGGGTCTCCAGAATCAGGGTCCAGCAGGTGAAGAGCCCTTGCTCTTGAGCTCCAGGACCCTGGTGGCTTCCTTAACCTCTCTGATTCCTACTTACTAATCTGCAAAGTGGAGGCATGAATGGTCCCTGCCTCGCAGTTCCCAGGGGTTAGCATTTGGCTACTATTACAGCTATTAGGTAGGGAGCTCCGGTGGCCTAGTGGTAAGAAGCTGCACTACAGTAGCCAAAGGCCCACAGTTCAAATCCACCAGCGGCTGCTTCAGTGGAAGAAGATGGTCATTCTCCTCCTGTGCGATTTCCTGCCTCTGAAAGCCCACTGGAGGGTCAGCTATGGGTCAGTTCTGACTCGATGGTGAGCAACCACTATTGGAGCTAATTATAGTGCTCTTGTCACCATTGTCATCTACTCTTCCCACTTCCCACGTGACCTCTTACCTGCTATCCAGTTTTTAGCATTCACTCTTAAATGTGCCGTCTTCAAATGCTCCATGGCTGTTAACAAGGAAAATCCATCTGGCAGCCTTCAGTGGGATGTTATTTCTATTACAAATTGAGCTCTCCCTTGTCTTCCAACCTGCTCCATTGCATTAATGGGAAAGTAACCTGGATCTTCTAATTACTTCCCAGAATAGCATCTGTGTTCTGGTTGATTGGTCTCCAAATAAAAAGACCTGGCTTTAATTTAGAGGCGCACGGCTAGGATCAGCCATCTAAAGCAGCCCTGGGTGCGAATAAGCAGGATTCCCTAGAGCATCTTTCAACAAGCGCCTGCCTCCCAGGACCACCACTGCTCCCAGCATGAGGCCTCTTAACTAAAAGGCAGGGTCTGCTGGGACTCCCTGCTCTCTGCTCAGCCTCTCCCATCAGACACTGTGCCCTCCACTGTCCTGTGGAGAGCCAGTCTGAACCTTCACAGATACAGCTAAGACAGCAACCCTTTCTGTTCCCGTTACGTTAAAAATGAGCATGAGCCTTCACAGGCTAAATGGGCAGAGGGTTCAGCAGTTCTCTTGAGGTTCCTCATGCCCGTCCTCCAATCACCCCCCCATTCTGAAGAGTAAAGTAAATGGTCCCACAAGGGTTAATTTCAAGCTGCCAATTTGATGCCGTTCATTACGGGGTCAGGAAGCAATACTAAGAGCTGATTCTTGCAAGTGGTTTTGCGCTGTCTCCAGCTCACTGCTGCCAGAGGCCTTGGAGGTGACCCTCTCCCCAAGGCTGACGCCCAGCATGCCCCTCCCGGGAGCTGAGGGAGAGAAAAGCCAAGTCCTATTTTCTGTACCTCTCAGTACTTTCGATTCTCAACTTCTCTGCATAAATTTATTTGCTTCGTAAGAATCATAAAATGGGCATTGGCTGAAGGCGATCTGGACATGCCTGAAATAGAGGTTAATGCGCACAAGAGACACTTCATCTTGCCTTGTCCTTTCGGGTTAGATTTCCTGTCACGCTAACTTGGGAGAAGCAGAGACGTAGGTTCAGAGTTGCCGAAGACTGAGCATTTTATTTAGCAAATTTACTTTAAAGCATCTTGTTCTGTGCAATGTAAAAAGAGAACTTTCACTGGAATTGGCTTGGTTTTTTTTTCATGATGTGTTATTATTCTTATGACATTTTCTAATTCCTCCTTCTCTCCCTGGCTTTCTCAAAAGCTAGTGGCAAATGGCATTGAAACTTAAAAAGAAAACAACTGACGGATTTCATTTTGCTTCTTAGGTGCAAGGGGGCCGCCCAGAGAGAGACAGACACCATGGACACCTTTGTCGATTCTGCCTGGTACTACCTCAGATACACTGACCCTCACAACACGCAAAGGTACAACTCCTGGCTGCGTCCTTTCAATTCTTATCATTCAGAGTCCTCCGAAAAGTAGGCACCAAGATGGGACTTCTATCTACAGGAGGTTGATGAAGGGAAATGCCTGTGAAGGATAAAGGAGAGAGGGGCTGGGAACCTCTGGGTGGTGCAAATGGTTCATTTGCTCAGCTGCGACTAAAAGGTTAGAGCTTAAGTCCACACAGACATTTCAAAAGAAAGGCTTTCTTGATGATTTCTTCCTAAAATACCGGCCACTGAAAACCTTATGGAACCCCTTATGGCATGGGGTCGGGTCTGGGGTCAGGTCGCCATGAGTCAGAATAAACTCTGGAACAGCTAGGTGACTGGTTTTGTTGAGCCGGAAGAGCTGGGGAGAGCCCTCGGCCATCATGCAGATCTCTCACCTACAGAAAGAGAGGGTGTGGAAGGAGGACCAGTAGGACAGCCTCTGATGAAAGTGCAGCTCTGAGAAAGGCTCAGCCAGGCCCTGGGGGGTCCCTGAGCACAGCTTGCCCATCAGACAGTCCCCATCAGGGAGAAATGGCTCTGTTGGATCCGTGCTGGAGTGGCCGGCAGAGCCCTGGATTGACGTAGCCTGTAGCAGATCTGAAGACAGCAGCCGGAAGGTGTCAGCCAGTGGCGGGTGCTCTCTGAAACAGACACTCCTGAGGGGAGCAGCGCAGATCATAAATCCCAAGTGTGAGAAAAATGAAAAACCAAAGAAGGAAGGAAATGCTATTATAATCCCCTTGTTGGCCCTGCGGTGAACCGCATTTATGTGGTCGTAAAGATGTAATGTTGTTTACTTAACTGTAAATAAAGAGGTAACTACATGGAGACAGTGTGAGAGCGAAGAAATATTATCTCTCCCCACGTACAGTCGCTGGATAGTTTCTAAAATTGATAAACCAATAAAGCATATAAACATGTTATTTCATAATTACCTGGTGAAAAAAAAATTTATTAAAAGCCGTTTCCAAGAGACAGGACTTGAAGTTAGGGAAGGAGAAGGAATCGGACCAGAGACCTTTGTTTTCACCACCCTCTCAGCCTTAGTTACGTGCCTGTGTTTCTTTGACCAAAAAAAATTAAGGGAAAAAGAGTAATAAATGGGTAAAAGAAAATGAGAGCAATAAACCCTGTTCCACAGCAAATTAAAACCCCCCCAAAAACCTCATTATGCTTCAAAGCACCGTGTCAGGCTGCCCATGTTCCATAGCTGAATTACTGTCCTGAACCCTATGCTCCTCATATAGAATTGCTCCCTTATTCTTCATTAGGGAACCTAGTGGTAAGGAGTAGAGCTGCCAACCCAAAGGTACATGGATCTAGTCCACCAGCTGCTCCATAGAAGAATGAGCAGTGTCCTCCTGCACTTTTTATTACCTCTGAAAACCTGCTGGAGAGTCAGCTTATTAGCTGATCCTGACTCCATAGTACAGCTAACCTCTCCAGTAAGATGAGTGCCCCCCACCCCACCAGAATCCTGCCCTGCAGCATTTAGAGCCCATATCCAGGGAAAAAATGGAATCCTGAGTGAGCAACAACCCAGAAAGACAAAAGGCCGCCACTGGATGCCCCACCTAGCCTACACAGGGGCTCCTAGAAGGGCTGTGAATGCACTGCTCTTGGTACTGGCTGACTTGGAACGCTTGGCGAGTCCAGCTCCTTCCCTGCTTATGTTGCTTCAGAGGAAAGCCTTCTGACAAACAAGGGCACTGAATGACCATGTCGGGGTCCCTGGACCTTTGCAGCTCTCGGCACATCACAACGTGGAGACCTCACCGCCCTCATAAACCACAGTCCTTCGGCGCTGGCGTGCCCTCTGCCTGGGACGGGTAACAGAGAGATCACAGAGCCAAAAGACACAGCTTCTGTCCACGTCACAATCCTTCGTTTATCCCCGGCCTGCTTCCTGAATGAGGGCCATCTTTGTCTTCCCTTTCTTTTATGACATGAACATGAGTCGTTGGGATTCCTTTTTTCAAAAAGGAGAGAGGAAAGGTGTTTTATTTTACCAGCAATCTGGTGTCGTGACAGAAGAGAAGAAAAGCAAGCTGCTCTCAGCTGCAGACATGTGTTGATTGGCCAGGCCCATGTCCTGGCTGAGAAAAGGGCTCTTACCTTCAGCCTTGGCCTCAGACAAGTCCAGGCTGGTTCACGATGGTGGAGGCAGGGGGAGGGGGGCAGAATGCCTTGCATTATGGGAAGGAATGAACACCAGTAAGTGTAAATCCTCCAAAAGTCAAGCTTTATCTACCTGGTTGGATAGCATGCAGTGAGGACGTTACTTTGGGAATGGAGGGGTCTGCCCTGACCAGTGCTGTCCCCACAAACACACATTTGCAGGATCCCCAGCAGGAACTTAGAGTTAAGGAGTGTTTCCTCCCCCTCAACATCCCTTAGGACTGGAGAGCGTGAGTGAGGAAGCCTTTCTTTTAGGATCTCTTTTGCCTCGGATGTATAAATAGGATGAAAGAGAGTTATTGGACGGTCATGACAGTTTGCCCTCAATATAATCTTCATCGCACCCAGTAGGGCTTGCACAGGCCCTCCCTGATGAGAGCCTCTGTGTTTTAAGGTTGCTCTCTTTCACAAATGCACATTTGGGACCTACATGCCAATCTTCATCGTAAAGGCTACATCGCCCTCTATTGGCGAGAACTTGGAAGTCACAAGCACCTACTTATAAAATCGGCCTTAAATTGTTATGTGCCGACTTATTTACAACAGCTCTGAACCCTGCTCTATCTTAAGCCAACCTTCCTATCTCTGACACACCTACCCTCATTATCTTAGTCACTGAGTCCATCTCATCCAAAGTCTTCTCTCATGCGCTGTCCTTCCACCCTCCCAAGCATGACGTCCCTCTCCAAGGACTGGTCCCTCCTGGCAACATGTCCAAAGTATGTCAGACTGAACTTCAAAATCCTTGCCTCCAAGGAGCAGCCTGGGTTCACCCTCCCCAGGGCAAACCTGTTTGTTCTCCTAACAGCCCATAGTATATTCACTACTCTTCTCCAGAACCGCTAGATACTTAAATATAAACCCCGGTGGTGAAGTGGTTAATCAATTTGAACGCACCACCTGCTCCACAGAGGGATGTGGCATTCGGCTTCTGTGAGGATTGGCAGCTTTGGAAAGCCAAGAAGGCATTTCTCCTGTGTCCTACGGTTGCTGTGAGTCAGGATCAACTCAGTGACGGGTTCTGGCGTTCCGCTGCACATTGTACTGAGACCCTTTTTTTACTTTTTTTGGTCTATTATGCTCACTATTACCTCCGTTTTATGTGAAAATTGCCATGATTAAGTTCTATCAGTGATGTGTCTTCTATAATGGATTTTTGTAAATTTCCTAAATTAACACTAATCTGGCTAATTTTTCTTTCATTATCAAAGCTTTCTCTTATTATATTTTAGAAAGAGGAGCCCTGTTCTTCCCTGACATAATTTTGTGCCAAGCACGCGCACCTTAGTAGGCCTGTCTAATTCACGCGGTTGCCTCAAAGCAGCTCTTTGTTGTGTTTTGTTTAAACGACTCTTTCTTTTTCTGCCTTCCAGCCCCTTCAGCACAGCCTTGGCAGACTTCTGGATGCCTGTGGATCTGTACATCGGAGGAAAAGAGCACGCTGTCATGCATTTGTTTTACGCCAGGTTCTTCAACCACTTCTGCCACGATCAAAATATGGTCAAACACAGGTGAGCTTTGATACTGTTCTGCAGAGCAGTTCAGCTGCAGGAATAGCATCCGGAAGCAGGTGCCAGTTCTTTGAAACAAGGTGTATGTATATACGCAGCAGAAGAATTCTATTTCTTTTAGTATGCTCCAAGTTCACTGTCAAGCTTGACCGTTTGATGTACATTTATATAACATAATATGGTATTGTATCCTCACATTCCATATTGCAGGCTGCAGTCCTTGACACTCTGCAGCAGGTGCTTTAGGTCCTCCTCAGTTTCAGCAAGCAGGGTTGTGTCATCCGCATAACGCAGA